AAAACCAACCCCAAAAAACCACTCCAGGCAGGAAAACACCTTAAATCCACCCAGTGGGATTAAAAAAACACCTTAAACCCCCCTAAAAGCCCATCCTAGGGGGATAAAACATCTCAAAACCATCCCCAAACCCACCCCAGGGGGATAAAAACCACCTAAAACCACCCCAAACCCACCCCGGGGGTACAAACACCCCAAACCCACCCCAGGGGACAAACACCCCAAACCACTCTGGGGGTACAAACACCCCAAACCCACCCCGGGGTACAAACACCCCAAACCCACCCCAGGGGTATAAAAACCACCTAAAACCACCCCCCAAACCACCCCAGGGGGACAAACACCCCAAACCCACCCCAGGGGGACAAACACCCCAAACCCACCCCAGGGGGATAAAAACCACCTAAAACCACCCCCAAACCCACCCCAGGGGGATAAAAACCACCTAAAATCACCCCCCAAACCACCCCAGGGGTACAAACGCCCCAAACCGACCCCAGGGGACAAACACCCTGAAGCACCCGAAGGGTACAAACACCCCAAACCCACCCCGGGGGGACAAACACCCCAAACCCCCCTGGGGGTACAAACACCCCAAACCACCCCAGGGGTACAAACACCCCAAACCACCCCAGGGGACAAACACCCCCAGACCCACCTCGGGGGGACAAACACCCCAAACCACCCCAGGGGGATAAAAACCACCTTAAAACCACCCCCCAAACCACCCCAGGGGTACAAACACCCCAAACCACCCCAGGGGTATAAAAAACACCTAAAACCACCCCCAAACCCACCCCAGGGGGATAAAAACCACCTAAAACCACCCCAAACCCACCCCAGGGGTATAAAAACCACCTTAAAACCACCCCAAACCCACCCCAGGGGGACAAACACCCCAAACCACCCCGGGGTACAAACACCCCAAACCACCCTGGGGGTACAAACACCCCAAACCCACCCCAGGGTACAAACACCCCAAACCCACCCCAGGGGTATAACAACCACCTTAAAACCACCCCAAACCACCCTGGGGGTACAAACACCCCCAGACCCACCTCGGGGGGACAAACACCCCAAAACCCCCGGGGGCACAGACACCCCCAAACTCCCCCGGGGGCACAGACACCCCCAAACCCCCCGGCCCTTCCCCAGCCCTCGCCCACCTCCTTGATGTGCAGGAAGTCGCGGGGCTCGAAGCTGACGGCCAGGCCGGGCACGGGCGCCTCGTCGGCGGCCGCGGCGCGGTAACCCACGTTGGTGCGCACGGCGAACGCCACCGCCTTGGTCTGGGCACGGCACGGGGCGGGCACGGGGTGGGCACGGGGTGGGCACGGGGTGGGCAGCGGCCCCCGCAGCGAAATCGGGGGGATCCCCCCCGGTGGCAGCCCGAATCGGGGTGATTCCGCCCCGAAATGGGGAGATTCCGCCCCAAAATGGGGAGATTCCGCCCCAAAATGGGGAGATTCCACCCCGAAATGGGGAGATTCCACCCCAAAATGGGGAGATTCCACCCCAAAATGGGGAGATTCCACCCCGAAACAGGGAGATTCTGCCCCAAAATGGGGAGATTCCACCCCAAATCGGGGGGTCCCCCCCAGTGGCATCCCGAATCGGGGTGATTCCACCCCGAAATGGGGAGATTCTGCCCCAAAATGGGGAGATTCCACCCCGAAACAGGGAGATTCCGCCCCAAAATGGGGAGATTCCACCCCAAAATGGGGAGATTCTACCCCAAAATGGGGAGATTCCACCCCAAAATGGGAAGATTCTACCCCAAAATGGGGAGATTCCACCCCAGAACGGGGAGATTCCACCCCAAAATGGGGAGATTCTGCCCCAAAATGGGGAGATTTCCACCCCAAAATGGGGAGATTCCGCCCCAAAATGGGGAGATTCCGCCCCAAAATGGGGAGATTCTGCCCCAAAATGGGGAGATTCCACCCCAAATCGGGGGGTCCCCCCTGGTGGCAGCCTGAAATCGAGAGATTCTGCCCCGAAATGGGGAGACTGCACCCCAAAATGGGGACATTACAACCTCTGTCACCCCAAATTGGGGGATCCCCCCCAGTGTCACCCCGAAACGGGGAGATTGTACCCCAAAATGGGGAGATTCCACCCCCAGTGCCCGGGCTGGGGGGTCCCGGGGGGTCCCG